AGAGTACGAGACCCTCATGTAGAGGAACAAATATTGGAAGACGTTGCTAATAATCCTTCAAATAGCATAAGGAAGCTTGCGGCGCAAAACAATGTTACAAAATGGGCTGTACATGAAACTCTGAAAGAACAATTGCTTTACCCGTACCACATCCAAAAAGTACATGCTATGTCTCCAGATGATTATCCAAAAAGACTTCAATACGCCAATTGGTTTTTACAGCATCATATTCGGAATCATAATTTTGGTACATCTATTTTGTTCACCGATGAAGCAGGTTTTACAAGAGACGGCATAATTAATTCGCATAATCTACATGTCTGGGATGAAGAAAACCCTCACGCTTTAGTTCAAACTCGCTACCAACAAAGGTTTATGGTGAATGTGTGGGCTGGCATTATCGGGAATCATTTGATTGGTCCATTTATTCTGGAGCAAAGACTTAATGGTGCTCTTTATTTGCAATTTTTAGAGGAAAATCTAAATATTTTGTTAGAAGAAGTGCCCCTTCAAATAAGAACTGAAATGTGGTACATGCATGACGGTGCACCACCCCACTTTGATCGTTTAGTACGTCAACATCTGACGAATGTTTTTGGTGATCGATGGATAGGTCGAGGCGGACCTGTATTATGGCCACCTAGGTCGCCCGACCTAAACCCATTAGACTTTTTTCTGTGGGGTCATTTAAAAAATAACGTTTATTCAACACCCGTAAATAGTAGAGAGGAACTTCTGCTGAGGCTAACACAGAACTGTGACCATCTCCGCAATAATCACGGAATATTATTTCAAGTGCACCGGGAAAACATTCGTAGGATTAGAAAGTGCATTGAAGTACGGGGTGCTCATTTTGAACATCTACCGAAGTAACATTTAGGTACCTTTGTTCATTGTTGAATGTTCTTTGTTGCATGTCTTGTAAGTAAGTTATTTTTCAAATGTTATTTTTAATTGGTCACTACTTGCTCATAAAGTATAGCCAACCCGTTCAAAGATTTCTGGACTTGATAAAGTTAAAGAAATTAAATGCATGAAATAATATGTAAAAAAAATAAATTTTAATTGTTGTTGTATTTGTTACCAATTTTTTTCAAAACCGATTTATCTCGCAAACCGTTCATTTTTTCGAAATAAATAAAGAGTACCATTTTTAAAGAAAAACCTTCAGAGTATCTAATAATAATATTTTCAGTTTGATAAAATTACTTCTGTCAAAATTTTGAGAAAAATTGTGATAGGGCCAGTCCGTTTCTGGACACCTGATAATAGCAAAAAGTTGATTTTAGCATCAAATCGTAGAGCTCCATGTGTAATACAACGTACGAAAATTTTATTAAAATATACAGGGTGGTTTCAAAGTTATAACCCTAAACGTTAATTTCTAGGTACCCCTTTGACCCCCCATAACTCCGTTAGGGGGCACATTAGGAAAAAAAATTATAGGAAGGACTAGTTTTATTTTGACCTCCCCTATACACTCCCGAGAGATTAGGAGGTACTTACCGGACACCCTGTATATGCTTTTTGGACCCAATATCTAGGTATGCTAAAAAGCAACTTCGAAGACACCTATTAATTAATAACTAACGATATTATAGGAAACAACTACTCTACTAATTATGTATAAAATAAAAATAATCAATCCAAGTACGTATTATTAAAAATTAATTAAAATAACACGACATATTGAAATGAATAATGTAAATGTTCATAGAATTCAATTTGCTTTTTTTTGGTTTTAATAACACCTCTGACAAATTTATTTAATGTAACTATACCTACTTTTTTACAATAAAGTGATGTCACATAAAATACTGTCACTATTTAAAAGTCTCTACCAACAAAAAATATAGCAAAGATAAAAGACTGCTTCATGTATTCCTTGCCTTTATCCACCTAACCTTTATACATACTTCAGCTATCCCAAAAACTTCCAATAATTAAAATTTTCTAAAAATGTACAAAGCTATTTTAAAAGTTTTTTTTTTAGAAAATGATATTTTACCAACACGATGGTACTCCTGCACTTACGTACTTATGTAGTCAATAATTTTCAATAAAAAAATTGTATGAACAGAGGATCGCTAGGTATTCACAAACCTTTTTTACAGCTCCTTGTTCTTCTGATTTAAATGTTTTAGATTGTGGAAGACTAAACAAGTTGAAAAATATTTTTCAAAATTTCATCAGATTCAATTAGATAGATATACAGGGTGTTGCATCACGAGAGGGACACGGCTTAATGTGAGATAGAGGACATCTAGGGTAACTAGGATCGCCTATAGAAATAGCTTCTTGGCCATTCTTTATTGAGATACAGGGTGATTTATGATTTTTGGCCAAAAATGCTTTATGTCATAACTTTGGTAGGGAATGGCATAATGGGTTCATATTTGGTAGGGTTAATGCACTCATGATACTTCATGTATGCATGTATGACAGCAAAAAAAATCCAGGTCGGGACTGCAAAAATTGTTAATTTTTTGTACAAGTCTAGAAAACAACACTGTGTGTATTTTTTTGAAATTTCGATAAGATATTCGGAAAGAGCATAAAAAAGTGATCTTAAAGACGTGTTTCTGTTTTTTGTTACACTTTGTTGGTTATTTAAATAAGGTATTGAATATATAAGAGACTACGGCTCCTAAAACTAAATTGTGTAAAGGACACATGATAAAAATGGTTTTGCAACTAAAATTAGCAAAGGCTTAATTGAGGGTAGATGTTAAAAATAAGCATGAATATTTTAAACCTCATTTTCTTTAAATAATATCGATTCCAGGTCCGGACTGCAAAATTTTTAATTTTTTTTTTAACTAGAAAACATCGCCCCGTATGTATTTTTTTGGTATTCCCATACGATTATCGAAAAGAACATAAAAAAGTAATCTCAGCGACATGTCTCTTTTTCTTGTTACACTTTGATGATTATTTAAATACGTATGATGAAAATACATGACAAAAAATAAATTATAATACGTCAATTTTGGTTGCCATCGATACATCGAGCAATTATAAACTTGGGTAAACGAATAAGAAAATGTATCAAAGTTGAGGGAGGCCACTTTGAAAATTTGCTATAAAATTAATTTGCCATTGTAAAGTAGATTTACACACCTATTATTTTCTTTGTGTATTTCTATTTTTTAGATATCCTATTTACTACCATTAAAAGAAATAAACTACTATTTTTATCATGTATCTTTTACTTACTCATGTCATGTGTTTCTTACTTACTCGTAATTTCATTTTAAAAGCGTTGTTACCGTACATTGAATACCGTATTTAAGTAATCAACAAAGTGTAATAAGACAAAAAGACATGTCGCTGAGATCACTTTTTTATGTTCTTTTCAATAATCGTATGGGAATACCAAAAAAATACATAAGGGGCAATGCTTTCTTGAGTTACAAAAAAAATTAAAAATTTAGCAGTCCGGACCTGGAATACATATTATTTAAAGAAAATGAGGTTTAAAAGATGAATGCTTATTTATAACATTTTCGCTAATTTTAGTTGCAAAACCATTTTTATCATATGTCCTTTACGTAATTTAGTTTTAGAAGCCGTAGTCTCGTATATTCAATAGCTTATTTAAATAACCACGAAAGTGTAACAAAAAAAAGAAACACGTCTTTAAGATTACTTTTTTATGCTCTTTCCGAATATCATATCGGAATTTCAAAAAAAGACATAAAGTGTTGTTTTCTAGACTTGCACAAAAAATTAACAATTTTTGCAGTCCGGACCTGGATTTTTTTTGCCGTTATACATGCATACATGAAGTATCGTGAGTGCATTAACCCTACCAAATATGAACCCATTATTCCATTCCCTACCAAAGTTATGACATAAAGCAGTTTTGACCCAAAATCATGAATCACCCTGTATCTCAATAAAGAATGGCCAATGAGCTATTTCTATAGGCGATCCTAGTTACCCTAGATATCCTCTATCTCCCTCTCGTGATGCAACACCCTGTATATCATAAGTGACTTTTTTTTTGTGTTAACACTGTTAAATACAAGTAGGCTAGAATCAAGTTGGCTTGTTCTTTTATGGGTAGAGATCTGAATGTTCATTTGGCAACTATTGATGGTATCCCATTGTCAATAATGCCTGACCTGCTACATTTGTCAGAAAAATATGTTAGCGATTTTATTGAAAAGAATTATACAGTAGGATTATTCTAAAATAGCCTTGTAAAAAAATTGAATAAAAAATATCTAGGTACCGGTAATTTTTCTACATGCCTATAAACTTAATAAAAAAGCAAATATAGAATTGTAGAATTGTGTAGGATGCTTCTAGGATGCCACAAAATTAAAAACTGAACATTGGATTATTCTATGTATTCCAACTCAAAATAGTGGTGTATAAAATTTGCATGGGCGTAGCTACAACTTTTGCTTGGGGTGGCCCTAGGGCAGCAAGCTCTATGGAGACCTCTAAAAAAAAGAAAAGGAGAAAAGGCATGCAGTCACCGTCTTACCAGTACCTACCTATGACAAAGATGATAATACCAAATCTTTTTTTAAGGACTGGCCCATGCACATCCCTGCCCCCTCTAGCCCATGAAAATTTGAAGAAAATATATCCATTAGCTAATTTTCTATGCGCTTATAAATTAAATAAAATGCAAAATAGAACTGTGAATCAACAACAGAACACTTGCCAATAGGAAACTTTTTACATAAAATCACATTTTTCTATTTAGGTACATTTTTGTTTGTAGCATACATGATTATTCCTCCTGCTTTCTTTAATATCAGCTGTAGTGTTTTACATTTCTTTAAAATGCATGAAAAATTAATACTCGAATTTAAATGCAATGAAAACCATTTACATACTAAACATTCAACTTCAATATAACCTCACACAATATCACTGTCTTTTGGCAAATAACGGTTTACTGCTTGAAATAGAATATACATTATATTGCAGAAATTAAAATATGTCTTTGTTAAAGAATAGTTAACACAGACGTTAATACTTACATTTCCATATCGCTATTTGTTAATTTGTTTTATCACAGCTATCAGTGCATCGTCAGAGACAAGAGACACTTAATCTATGCAAGAGACAATCCATAGCACAGTATACACTAATCAGTCAGTACTATCAGTAGGGAAAGTTACATTTCCCGCGTCTTCCATATTTCCACCATTTTGTTAGCGACTAACAGTTATTACGATTTCCGTTCTCATATTTTCATTCATAGATCTAGTACGTTTTCATTATTGTATTTGTAACTAACCTCACTTATACCTTCTTATATCTCAGTTTTATGTACTAAAAACCTTATTTTATGATGTCAAGTTGTCAAGTAGTTGTTTAGTATAGTTATCCTGTTTGTTCCATGGTTAACCTACAAAAGGACCATGGGTCGGTGGTCAGGGTCACGCAGAGCGTGGTAAGATGTCATGAAGGACAGTGATAGGTTGTCGAACGATATAGAATTGCTTGAATGTATAGTGTGTTAGAATAAAGAGTTATCACCCGAACTCGTGGTTTCCTTTATACAAATAAGTACCGAGACATAACACTGTTCTTCTGTATTTTATGAGTGATTATTTATTTATAAGTAATATTATACCCAGTAAATAGTTAATAATGAAATACAAATTATAGTAGACTTACATTTTAAAATATGTTTAGAAAATAAATAGGCTTTCGTAAGTTTTTGAACAAAATTTATAAAATTCAGACCGATANAGGGTCACGCAGAGCGTGGTAAGATGTCATGAAGGACAGTGATAGGTTGTCGAACGATATAGAATTGCTTGAATGTATAGTGTGTTAGAATAAAGAGTTATCACCCGAACTCGTGGTTTCCTTTATACAAATAAGTACCGAGACATAACACTGTTCTTCTGTATTTTATGAGTGATTATTTATTTATAAGTAATATTATACCCAGTAAATAGTTAATAATGAAATACAAATTATAGTAGACTTACATTTTAAAATATGTTTAGAAAATAAATAGGCTTTCGTAAGTTTTTGAACAAAATTTATAAAATTCAGACCGATATAATCTAATTTAAATTATTTCTGCTGGAATTCAAATAACTAAACCTGTATTTAACCAAAAAACTTCTCTTAATAAAAAAAACTCAATTTACGTGTAACACTACTACATAGCTAACAATCTCTTTATTACCTTGGATTACAATAATTAATCAGATATTAATGTATAATAATTAACAGTATTTAAAACCAAGAAAAAGAACAGCTTATGTTTACTATACTCATAGAAAATATAGTACTATACTAACGTAGAATGAAATGTCCCTAATATTGCCACTAAACCGCGAAACAGCGCACGTAACGTTTTGGAAGCTTACTACTACTTAGCTCCTAATGAGTAGGCAACACTTTATACTTTCTGAACTGATTACAGCGCCATCTATCGTATGGAAACGACTTCTCACATATCCTTTATATTATATTATTTTAAAAATTTTAAAAGTAAACCCTTATACAAATAGGAATAGTCAAGTGTCAATACTTTTGAGAACAGATTATTTAGTTAAACAGAAAATGTAGCGAAAAACTAATATTCAGTACTTTTCTAATTCACTTCTGCTTTGATAACGAAACTAGAGGTTTCAGAAACGTCATAGTGTTATTGTGATGTGTATTTGTTTTTCCAGTGCGTAACCAGACTTATACATGTAGATGTATGTCTCTGGCATCTCACTATTAGGCAAAAGTTTTCAGTATTGACACTTGACTGTCCCTATCGGTACAAGGGTTTATTTTTCCAGTTTTTTTTTCTTCAAACTATGGCAAAATATCCAAATTATAACATTTATAATGCCACAAATAAATACAGACAATTTCTTATTTATTATTTTATTATATTATAGTATTTTTCAAATTTTGACATTTGCCAAGATATACTTAGTAAATGGTTTCGATAAGGAAATAAAACATTTTTTAATAATTTTAAGTTTATTTTGTATCTACAAGAAATCCTAATTGATTTATACAGAATGTTGTTATGCATGTACTATTAAAACAATTTCTTGTTATGTATTTAATTGTAAGTAAAAACGACAACAATTTAATTCATTTGCTTCATAAACTTGATAAGTTGGCAAGTAAGCTGTAAAAATATAAAAATTATGCATGAACTGTTATAATAATCTCACTTTCCGGAGAGTATACCTAACCGAATATTTGTACAATATTGGGTTAAATTCAATAGTTCATATAGTTTGGAACTTTCAAACCATA